TGGACCACATCGAAGATATCCAAATGCGAACAAAAGAATTGGACATAAATTCTGAGCATACTGTACCTTTTAAAAATTCACTTTGTCTGAATATCACTTCAAGATGTTCGGGCATCATTTCAACATATCCTAGTTTCATTTCAAGCTCTCCCATTGACCTCATCAGTACTGTTTAAGCCTCTAAGGGATGATCACCATGCAGCACAAATTTCTCAACCTCCTGTTGAAGCTTGGGTGGAGACGATTGTGAGACGTGTTTTGGTCACACGCCCCATTTCTCATGACATATCTTGGTTGTTTACCGCGCTAGTGCGCCTACGCGTCCCCGTGTAGCATGGTGATCATTCAGTCATCATTAGGCGGTTTGAACAGTACATGCACCCTGCAGCACCGATGAGATCAGTGAGACATCTTGAAGCAATATTCGGAAAACTTGAGTTGAATGGTGGGGCTTTATTGTTTCGTCAAAATGCAGCGAGGTAAACAAATGTTTTACGAGTTGCTCATTTGTCAAAGTGCATTAAAATATTGTTCGTTAGATCTACCTATGTATGATACTTGGATTTCCAAGGAAGTAAGCTTTCTAATATTTCAATATGTCAACGAACCTTTTGGCAGTTAAATCAATGTGTTGTTAATGGTCCGTTCCGTTTGGTTTGCAGATGTTTTTCCTTTCTGTGAACCCACATAGTCTACCTCTTCTTGCGCGACCGAACATCCTAGCCGGCGGGATACCCCGTAGTACATCTGTGTCGCTTATAATCAGCTTGGGAAAACTTGGAACACATTCATAATGCAGTGGTAATAAGTAGCACTAATCGAAACCAATGAATCAGGTTCATGAGTAATCTGGGACAAGTTTTTGAATCAAACTGGACACTTAATTTACTTTTAAATCGAACGCATGAAGTTTTCTTATAATCCACATCTACGTCTTATATGACTGACTACGATCGGATGCGGTTACATCATGCGGGTCTTCAAACGACTTCGATCACCTTTGTTTTATCCGAGGGGTGCAAAAGTAAATGTGTCCAGATTGATTCATTGAGAACGGTCAACGTATCCCACGTACGACTAAGAAGGATTGAAAGCACGGTGCACAGCGATTTCATTTAATACGTTCGGAACCCTCACGGAAGTTTATATTCCTCCGGAGTGGTAATGTGGCGTTGCCATGGCATCAGCCGGTCCCAAAACTAACCCGTGATATATGTCAGGATTTTACATTGCATAATAAATTACTTTCCCTTGCCCCATTCGTGATTACATCCTCAAGTGAGACTGGAATCTTAATCATACCAAGAATCAGATAGCAAACACAGGTCAATCAGTGGCTCTTGTAGTCAACCTGAAGAGCCATATGCAACGGGGGTGTAGGGAGTAGATGAGCTAGTCCGCTGCACCGGAGAACAATCCAGTGGATGGTCAACTTATACGACGATGATAATTGGTCTGTATAGTCGGTAGGCCCATCTATACCACATTCGATTGTCACCCTGGAGGAGTTGAAGTGCTCATGTGAAGATCGGAAATTTGAAAGACGGATAAAAATGGCGTCAACATTTGATAATTTCTGGAACCCAATTGCTCTCGACTCGGGTTGTGGAACAGAGAGCCAATTGCAATCAATATTATCGAGGTATGTGGAGATGACATATTTTGCATAATGGATGGACAACCCAAATTACATAATTTCACAAGAGAATTCAGTGCTGCCCGCATGGTGATTTAGTTCATCACTGCAGTTGGAAAGGAAGGAAGTTTTGAGCTATTCATTTAAGTTCAGACTATACATACTTTTGGATGATTAGATTTAGGTGAAAATGGATCACAAAGCGACCTTGGATAAGTTAATATACGAATGCTTACAGTTTCGTGCCACTTGCATACAAATATGAATATGACCTGACATACTGCCGGGACAAATTGGTCCAGCGATACTCCCTTGTCAAATGCACAAAGGGAACGTTACTATATCGCCTATAAGGTAGGAAATCCACAGGCAGAAGCTGGAATGAAATGATCAAATGATCAACAAAAGAACCGGGAGTGAAAAACGAAAACCCACTTTCATCAAACACTTTTTCACTAGTGCCACAACAGCAGAGTGATGAGTCCCAATGTGAGAAAGAAGCATTCAACGCCACCAAATCTCGGACAATGTTATACGTGTCATCAAACATCCGATGACAAATCAAAATGCAACTGCTTGTAATTTGACTTTAACTGTGATTGTATACCAATTCCGATGCATTTGATGCCTACGTATGTAAGCCGATCGACAAGGCAGTTATAGAAACATATCAAACGACATAATCCTTGTGGGCTTGGTCATGGAAGTAGCGGAGCACTTTCCAGTTTCTATGCTTGGTGTTTGATAGAAACTGGACATTCAATCAACTTTCATTTCTCCTCTTCAGCTTTTAGAAAAAGCAATACAAAATACGTCATCCACATTTATATCGACAGTAGTGGTCATGATTGGCTCCCGGTTCCATAACGGGAGTCGAGGGCAAATGGGTTCCGGAAATTATCAAATTTTGAGGCAATTTTTTATCCGCCTCTCAAATTTCCGACCTTCACTTGAACACTTCAATGCCTCCAGGGTGACAATCGAATGTGTTCCATATGGAAATGTATATGATACCGACAAAGAGCACTGGACAGCTGCTTTGTCCTGTTTGGGGCTCGGTAGGACAAAAATTGCGAACCTTCGGGTTCGGACTTCACATACTCACCCCTGAGCAACACGGTCGGAGTGAAACCCACACTCAAGACCATCAAAACTGCCTGGTACCTCTGAGCAACCTAATGGGCTAATCCAAGCTTGATAGTCTAAAGTGTTCCATATTGGCCCACAGATGGCACAAACCCATTATCACCGTTGTATCTGTTATTCATCCACTGGATTGTTTCCCGATGAAACTGACTCGTTCACCCAAAGCCAAAGTTTTATTATGGGAATAGCTTACAAGCTGGTGCTTCTCTTGTCCAGCTCACCCCCACCCCATTGCACATTACTGTTCAACTTGATTACATAAGACACTGTTTCACCCATGCTTGCTATTTTGTTCTTTCTATAATTAATACTGCAGTCTCACTTGAGGATGTAATCACCGAATATATGTACAATGTTTACCTTTTACTCGGGTGCTGAGCATAAAATGGGAATATTTATTAATCCGAAAGCTTCCTCATATTCGTGATAGAGATCGCTGTGCTAAACAGCATGTTAGGACACATCTTCACAGTATCTTGCAACTATATTTTCACTGTTCAAGAGTTGTACAGCGGAAAAACCTGGGGCTTCAACCAAGGGAACTTACATTTTTAGCGTTGACTCCTCGTGCCTGAATTTGAAACTTTAACTGTTCTCATTAAAAGTAACTCAGAGGATACACCGGAGAGCATGTAAGGTAATTATCACGTTGATTCTAATTTCTCCTCAAGAATTAATTAAAAAANTTAAAAAATTCCAAAAATACCAAAATACCAAACACTTGATAGCCCCAATATCTGAGTGTGAGAATACGCGTGCTGCGCCTCGCAAACATTGAACTCCACGTTATATTTGCTTGTTCGTGGGACACAGACCTACCTCTATCAACCCGGAATAACCAATCAAAAATATAGGTAATCTGGCGGACAACAGTTATCATTAACTTCCACCAAAACCCTATGAAAGCTAGGTAAATCTAAAAAAGTATTTCACACATGGCGGATGCTTTAGATTACCCTTTTTGGTTTAACTCAGTCGATTGTTCACAAGCATCAGGCATTGTTGATGGTTTTTGTATATAGGTATCACTTCACCGCATATAAATGCAGTTAAATGGCGGGGAAACATGAAGCTCTGAAGTGATTGATCCATTCGCACAAACCGATAACCGTTGGTCCTGTAGCTCGAGAGTCAGATTGTTCTTTTACTCCCAGCCATAAGTTTCGCGGTTCGAGTCCTGACTGGGACACAAAAGGTATGCACAGTTGTCATGTCCCAAACATGACGAAACAGCTGTCCAGTACACTTTGTCGGTTATCACAAATATTTCCATTGTATATCGAACATAGAATATGTTGAATTGTACTTACGCAAGACTGATCAGCTGTGTAGTGGTGCCAAGGATACGTTTCTCATCCCAAGGATCTCAATTAAAACGCGGTTGGTAGTAATCAATAGAGGATTTAATGCGTTCCGCTTGCTTCTTTTCCTCTCCTTTTATTTCTGTGCAACACTTAACCTCTTTTTACGTACCACGGATGGGTTTGACAGGTGTATTCTGGTATAGATTCTTGAGTTTCAGTCACATGTGGGGATATTTTAATGTGGACCGTTAAGTGCGAATATCGATTAGAAAACGGACTGGTGAAACGAACACTAACCTGGAGGAATTGAGCCGGGAGCACGAGTTCCGGATTTTGTTGAATGTTCATAAATATTGTTTCAATCCACGCATGGTCAGCATTTAGATGATCTTGCAAGAATCCAGTGTATACCTTGGGGAGGGGGCGGGCAGAAGTGAATGATGAACGGTGAATGGACTAGCTAAAACCCTATACTGTCAGGTTGTAGAAAAACAGTTTAAACACGTTGTCTTCATATCCTTAGGAGGAAGGAAAAAAGCCCATTACACACTTTTTTCGTTCATGTACGGTGCAAGGGAAGTAATGAATTATTTTCCTTTTCCAAAGTTTGACCAGCTTGTATTGTTTATGATTTCCGCTTGTTTGAATACCCGCCATAATTGTGAGCTGATTCAAAGTTCAGTTGCCAATTTTTGCACACTAGTTGAACACATATCCCGGATACATATAGTGGGCATGAAGCATGTTTCCATTTGTCAGTTGGTTTGTATTCAGTTATGAAGCTCCGATGGCAAAAAAATAACAAACCGTTCATGTTTGTGTTGGTGCATGGAATAATTCGCTCGATTTCGTTATTTCAAGTCAAGTCAAGTCAAGGATTCGCTTCATACACCTCCAAGGGTGGATATTCAGCAACCACATAACCGCAGTGTGTAAACAATCAAATAAGCGAAATGTAATACAACAATTAAAAGAAGTGAAACACATTAGCATCAAAAAATCGATGGCATATCACGGTGTTTCTGATTGGTTTAGTTTAGTGTTTTACGCCGATTTTCCGCAACGAGTTCATGGTCTCTATGAAATCTGATGAGATAGGGTACAATAGAGCATCTGTAAGCTTCCATTCGTGTCTTTATAAGTTGATAAGTGGAACAGGTCAATGAGTGGGAAAGGTACTGATTGATTAAGGAGCAGAACAAAGGAGATGGAAACAATCAGACAAAATCTTATTGGAGACAGGATTTGACAGGATTTGAGTTGGTGTGTGCAACCACATACTGCACCAGATTTTCGCTTGGTATAAGATTACATACCAACAGAAACTTGGGGGATCAGGAAATCAGTTTGAAGTCCTTGTTAAAAGGACCGAGGAAGATAACAGACGACCTATAAAGCCAGTGGGAAAAAAAGTAAGCAAAAACAAAACGCCTTATGAAATTACTTGGGATAGAAAGTGATGCAAGACGTGAAACATAGAAAGTGAACCTTCAAACCGTCGTTGAGGTGGTCAGACCAGATGAGGTTACCGGTAAAAATAACGCTAAGGTATTTGACAGACTGTTGTCAATCCATCTGGTCACTGAAGACAGATAAAGGCGGGCTGGCATTTGACAATTCATCATACTTTTCACCTTTAAAAAAGGGGAAAAAAGTTACGTCATCACATTTTTTGGGATTCATACCGAGGTTCCTTTGTTGAAACCACCCAACTATTTCTAACATGTCTTCTTATAGAGTGGTTTTAAATGTTGAAGGAAATTCCGAATATTATATCTGAATATTTAACAAGAAGAGAAGAGTTGTTCACAGGTATAAAGGAAGTGTAAGCAAAAAATAGAAAAGGGGATAAAATGGTGCCTGCTGTACGCCTTGAGAGGAGGGCAGCAGGGAAGATGTACAACCTTTGTTACGTGTGAACTGCTGACGGTTGGAGAAGAGTTCCCACAACTTGTATCGTTGATGTGCGGCGAAAAATTCCATCAGAAACGTATGGTTTCACTTCGCTCTCACGAAACTGGTGCATAGTTTTGGGATAGTACATAAGAATTTGTTACGAACGCCGCTAATATATCCCTCCAGATACGATTACAGTGTCTCGTGGCTGATGAAAAGGTAATTGCTTTCATGGGTGTTTCTTTAAATTTGCAGTGGCTGTCAGCTGAAATTCACTATCACGCACAATCCAAAGTGAATTCACTGCACAATGCGGTTCGAAGAACACCATATTCTTTTTTCGCTCTCATTAGAGGTTACCAGTACTATGTAACCCCGAACTCGTCCCAGAATTTGGCCTAAGAGGGTGCATGTGTTAGCACAGTGCAAACTATTAGCCAACACCCGAATTGAACAACATTACTAAGCCAGTTTGTTCATATGACCATAATCGGATAAGTCAGTCACTAACAGTGCCCAACAGCATTGATAAGAGACAGGGAAAATATCCCGTTAACTCCACTCGAACAACTCTTGCTTGCCCAGTTTGATCACTAGCTTAATGATACCACTATGCCTGGGTTTTAAAAAGATTTTGAATTGTTTGGATGAAACTGTGAACATAGTTAGTTTACTGCTTTTTTGTGTCTTCATTGTACACCGGTTTCTGCCGGTAAAATTCTATCCTATGAACAGAGAAGAAAAGATTATACAGTTGATATTGAACAATTTGAAAAATTATTGGAAAAACCATGCTACCTTTTAGTATGGCGCAGGATTTAAAGATCTGTGACAGACCCATGTGATGTGGGCATTTCAGGTGGTGTGAAATAAATGAAATCAAATACAATAATACTGCCACTTAAAACAAAAATTCACCACTTTTGATTGACCAATTTGCATACTTCTTTCTGTCATACTTACCTTCCTCAGCTCATCTGCTCTACCATACACTCAGGAATTACTGTGCTCGGTTTCGCTTACATCGTGGCATATCAAAGCTACATACCCCTTGTTGCATCCACGGTCTGAACTGCAGATCCCTCACGTGGAATGTTGAAATTGAGATGATACCCTGTGGATCGGACATATAATAGCCAGAACACAATAGCTTCCTAAAGTGACAATCACCAAATATTCACTCTACGACCCACTGCATGGGGTTCCTCATCTCACTGAAAGGGGTACACGGAAATAAGTTCGATCCCAACCACAAGCTTGTTGGCATTATTGATCGTCACCGGAAATCGTCACGTGTGCGATTGGTCGTGTCGACTTATGAGAATGTATTTGTTTAACCACATTCAATCGCCTGGTGCTCTCGGGGAAAATGCTCACCAGGTGGAATTTCATCAAACAGGTGCACAAAAGGGTATTCACCAATCAAAAATCGCCGCAATAGGGGCTCGGTAATTTGAGATCGTGCAACTAGAAACATGCACAGGGACCAGCTTGGAATTGCAACACCACCAAATGGGACTGGAATTTATGCAAGCAGATGGGTATGCTGCCGATTCGGGTGTGCAGGCCAAATCAATTGTGATGGGATTGTACCGAAATTGAGTATGATGCCCACATTGGCGAGGTTTATATCTTTGTTATTTTAATTACGTTTAATTTCACAAGTGACTGCTTGCATCAAATTGTAGAGCTACCAATAGCTAGTTCATGAAAAATTGGTTTGCAGAAAGTTGAAGTTCCTGAGTGTGAATCGGTACCCGTTCTGATGAGTGTTCGAAAACCCGAGGATCTGCCTACGAACGAATGTATTAG